CTCGTTGCTACGTGTCTGATGGAGATTAATCAGCACGCACCTGCTGAGTAAGCCTGCCTCCATAAACTCCACACCGCAACGCCTTGACACGACGCTCCAGAAAGATCCTCTGGAGATGGACAGCTGAGGCTCGCAGGAGCAGGAATGAGAGTCACTGGGAAACAAACAGGTCTGTCGGTCAGTGTGACTCCACAGATGCTCCCGGTGAAAGTTTGGATTTGTTAGGAGAGTCATTACGAGCACCGCTGGCTGTAATTAGGGAGAGGCAACTGTTAAATGTTTAAAGATGAGTGATATGACCACACACAAAGGCATTTTCGTAGCTTAATTTTTACATATATTTAAACTACATATACTTCCATAAATAAATCACCTATGGTATGCACCCCCCCCCCCCGGAAGTTTTTAGACCTACCATTTCTAGGTCGGTCTTCCATCACTATGACCATTCACTGAATCTGTCTTCAGGGTGATTAAATACACTGAACTTATTTGGTCATTTATAACAGCTCCCTGCCACAGAGCAGAATTATCCCCAGGGCTCTCAAGTTTCATCAGAAGTTTGGGGTGAGATTACATCTGTTAGGGGTGCAGCCTGTGTCTCACGGTCAATGCGTGAGACTTGACAGCCCCGCCTACCGCGTTCATCAGATCTTGCTCTTCCACTTCCACCTTGTTTGCACTCTGTATGTTTGTGCATCCCTGTAATAACAAGCTAGCAGCGAGATCATGCATACCTTATTTAGGAATTTATCTGGAAACAGCAGATGCTATATTCTGATTGGCTGGTTGGAGTTTATTAACTGTGCCTAACTTAATCGGGACTGCTATGAAATCCGCTCCGCATGCCTGCGCATCATCCATTGATTCTATATAACAGGACTCCTCAGTGGTGGTTATCCCTGACTGGCTGACACTGATCGTAGGTCTTTCCTTTTTGCTTTGGTCAAAAGCATCTGCTAAAAAAATAAGTCTAAATACAGAAAGATCTGATCAGTTCAAGTATATAATATATATGGCAGACGGTGCTTCTGTAGCTGAAGTTTTAGTCTTTTACGAGGTTATATGTTTGTGTTTCCATGACTACAAAACCTGATCTCCGAAATGCTAAGAAATTTAGCTTCTCCTTGAAGCGCAAAGCTTCCTCTCTTGGGCTGCAATGCTACTGATAGCTGCGTGGTTTGGAGCAGCGTGACTTCGGTCTCGCTGACGGGTGTGTTTGCATTACAGACGGTTAATGATGGAAAGGAGAAAAAGAAACTGAGTTTGGACACATCCCTGTAGGTGAGTGACACTAAATACACAGGTCACTTTGAAAAGGTGTTTGCGTCATTCAAAAATGACATCACCAACGTGCAATAATGCTCAAGAACAAATTTCAAGGCAAGATGGCAAACAGGTCTCTTACGCAAACAAATGTGAATGAAATATAGGAAAACAGCTTCCAGTAATGTGTGCCTGTTTTGAAAAGGATTTTTGAGCTCTGTTTTTAAAACGGGATGCCAAGATGGAGGGACCTGTGCATGTGACTGACAGACGACATCCGGACAGAGCTGGGCACCAGCATCTCAGCTTGGTACGTATTCATCTCTGGGGTTTTTTGAGCCGCTGTAAAAAAAATCAAAATCTGTGGTGAAAGGCTGCTTAAGGCATGGTCCTAGGTGAAAGGTGAAAGGTGAAGGGCCTAATGTCCCTGTGACCTAAAGCTCCGCCCACATCTAGGGGCCCAATCACATGCACACACTCATACTTTCTGGCATAGAACAAGAAAGCCATATTACTTATGACAAAGTACATCACATTTTGGGAGAAGTACAGGAGTACTTTAGTACTTTACTATTTCCTTAACTGGTGGGTCGTAACCCAAATATGGGTTGTGTGACTAACGTGTGACATTGGTTGTGGTTAAAGAAATTTTGAATTTTTTTCTGATCTTTTTTTTAACAACACATGCTGCTGTTACTGCAGCATGTCCCATATATTATTACTTTTTGTGACATAAATTTGGTTCAGCTGTCAGTTGTGACTTAATGACCTAGGAAAATTGTAGGTCCTCAGGCTAACCGTGCTGAGAGTCAGTGGGCAGGACGAACTAGTTATTCCTCTTGCTGGCATACCTACATATTTGCCCACAGGCATGTAAACACCTAAGGACTGTAGCCAATCCATTTTCACTGCCAAATAAGTGACATTCCATATTTTTCCAGTCCTCTGTGTTCACAGTTCAATATATTGCAACACTGATGACAAAGGATTTGAGTATAGCATTCTGTCTTTGTCTCCCTGTCACAGAATGCTCCTACTTTAAATAATGTAAAAATTAAATAAATCTCAAGCTGCAATACACCACTTTTAATTTCACTGCATCTAAGTTTTCATTGTAAAAAACAGTTATCTGTGTGCTGCAGCTACTGGACCTCAATGGTTCCAGAAAACCAAAGTTTGTTGACATTGAGGTGTCTGAGTTCTTCTGACATCTTTGTGATGTTATGCAGCTAAATCAGGAAGTTCTATAGATCACCAGGGTGACATTTTTGCAATAATTATTATCAGA